GCAATTTCCCTTTAGTGACTGCATTCACCAGTGCCATCTTTGGTATAGATTTGCGTATTGCATATTCTTTTTTTTTTTTGTATTGAACAACTATGACTTTATTTTATCCAACATTTCCCAGAAAATATTAGGTCATATGGATCTGTTTTCTTCTTTTACATAAAGCCTACAAATTTCTTACAGAATTAATATATCCACAAATATATTTGGCAAAAATAAACAGAAACTCCTACAATTTTGTTCATGAACAAAAGAACTTGATCCCATTAAATCAAAATTCAAATATGAAATATCTTGATTGAGCGTCATATCAGTTCTTGCATTTTCAATGTAGAAGAGGAGGAGTTCTGATAGGCCCTGAGTGCATCTCGGTGAGAGGTGAGACCTCCCCAGGGACTGGGACGTTGGCGGCGGCCATTGTTGTGGTCTGGTGTGTCTTGTATTGCATATTCTGTCCAACCTTTCTGGGAAGATTTTGTGAGTAGAAGTCTAGTGGGGTCATATTATTAGCTTACCTAAAGCATTATTACTTGGTGATCAGCTCTCTGTCTAAGATAAATATTTTTGATCAACTTCTAGGAATTTAGATATAGTTAATTTATTATTGTATATATAATACTTAACACTGAAATTCCTGATAAAATGAAATGCAGATAAATTCTCCCTTTGGTTGGCAGAGCTGTAGAGGAAAAGATGATATGAGAAATGGCAGGGGAGAGGGAGGGAACGAGAAAAAGAGAGACTAAAATAGAAGGCTACTGTGCCTTGTGACCTCTACGTAGGTTTGTCTTGATCTTGGGGTGGGGTGGGGGGTGGTTAGGAATTTGGTCTGTGGATTTCTGGCTTTTTGGCCACCACAACTTTATCTTTACCCACAAATGCAAACCACATCCTAATCACCTGACTTCTTTGGTCTAGTATGTGCTTTGTCTTTTCCTTCCAAGGAAGCTGTAATGTTCTGTTCCTTTTTTCTCTGCGTTCAGACTCGCTGTAAATACTCTCCCACACATCCCTTTGATGAAGAATTGCTAGACCAAAGCCAGTTTATAATTTCAGATCTTGTTCTGCAACACTGTACGTGGTCAGTAATGAGAAATCTCTCCAATCCTGTGTGACGTAATCTACTCAGTTCTAGAATCTTGTTTAAAATACAGGTGGTCAGGCAAAAGATTAAATTGGAAAGTCAATGTTCAGAATAATTAAGAGGAGAACTGGTTTCTCTTCATCTCTGCACCGAATGCTGTTCAGTTCAAATGATCAAATATACATCCTCAGAGAACCTAACACTTTGACTCAGGCTGGGTTAGGTGCCCCTTCTCAGTGCTTCCATAATATCCTGTATATATGTCCTTATTACTATGCTACTGTTTTATTTTATGATTGCTTTCATATATGCCTTTGTCTGCCCCACACACACACCTTAGTCTTAAACTGTGAACTCTGTGGGGATGAAGACTGACTGTGCCACTCTACCTGGCACATAGCAGGTGCTAAAATAAATATTTGTGTGAATATATGAATTTTTTAAAAAGAAAGATTACCAATTAATATGCAATCTTGTTAGAACCTCTAAAATATCCCCCCTAGTTGGCTTGGTCTCCAATATTTTAGCAGTATATAATACAGATTTTAGCGATAAATGTCATTCAAATTCAGGTAATACAATTTAATCAGTCAACTTTGATTTCTCAAACTAGGTCATTGCCCTATAAGGTAATTAGAACCTGAGTTCTAAAAATGAAAAGAACTAGAATTACCATAGCTTGTTCCTGTGGACCTTCTAAGTGATCTCCCCTCAAGCCCCTCCTCCGCAATCCTCTTAGCTTCCTTGTTTACTCTTAAACACACCCCATTCATTCAGCAAAAGTGCACTGAGCCTCTGTGATGTGCAGGTGGGCACTGTAGTAGGAACATGTGGTTTGATGGGAGAGACAGACATGTAAATAAAGAGTTATAGTATGAGGGCTATCGTTGATGTCCATACAATGTGAAATGTAAATCTAAGAAGTGAGACTGTTAGGGAAAGTGACATTTGCGCCTAGTTTTAAAGAATGAGAGAGGAGTTCAGATTTGAGGGAAAGGGGTAAGCGTTACAGGGAAAGGGAACAGCATATGGAAAAAACTAGAAGCATGGAGACACAGAAATGGCAAATACATGTAAAGGGAAGTATCAGAAGATGAGGCCAAGGGAAAAGGCAGACCTGAGTGGATGTCTATGGAGGAGTCTGGAATTTAACCTCTAGGCCCAAGGCAAAGTCACTGAAAAATTTTAAACAAAGAAATGACATGATCTCACTGTTCTCTACCTGTGTCTTTCCTTTAGGGATTTTTTGACCTTATTTTTCCCTGTCATTACCCCTTCTTTCCCTGGTAATGCTTTGTGCCAAGTTAATTCATTTGGTGTGAGTAAAATGGTCTTAGGTTGCAGTTTGGAACATCCTAAAACTCCAGAAGTTTGCTTCCCTCTCAAAAAAAAATTTCTGTACCGTAGCTAGATATTGTGACCCTAATCCCATCTTGTTACCTGACAAATTGACAGAATGTGAATATCTCATTCCATTCTTATTGTTAAAAAGGAAAAAAGAGTGGCATCTTTATAAAAAATAAAATATTCCATAATCTTATCATACTAGATTAACAAAATGAGGGTGGACTACACATGAAAGCAACTGAATTTGTACACTTAAGATTTTCTTAATATTTTCTGTTTAACCCTTTTTAGGCTTTTTATGTTCTATATCTAGATTATAAATGAACACACTAGACTTGAAGTCAAGAGAGCTTCTATCAGGCAACCAAAATGCTCCTGGCAATTGCTCTTTTCATTTTTGACCCATGGCGATGAATTTGCAGTTATATGATTGTTTGTGCACAGGGTCTTAGCCAGTCTCACAATCAACTGTTCTTTAGGAATTTTACAAAGATGTCATTCTTGGCACCTAAACTGAAAATCATCTATGCCCAACCCATTATTTTCCATTTATGAATCCTGTTCAATTAGAAAGTAGTTTATGGACAGTGTCCCATTTTTTATTGTAATTTGAAGTAGCAGATGGCAGACATGCGTATTACCTGGATGTCTCAAACCTTTATGCTTACTCATTCACATGGATCCTTTAGTGAAGCCAACTGCAGAAGATGTGGGAGGCAGGCAAGCCTCTTCCTAGGGAAGCCCAGGGCTCATTTGATTCATTGCTGCCACCTGCTGGGGTTTGGCTGCTGGAATGGGAAGGTGGATTCCAAGTGAGAGAGCTAAGCCATCTAGGGCCTTATAAGGAACCCATATGTGGTTCCAGTGATAATAGGGTATTGTTTCTAGGTGACAACCTACCCCTAAATAAAAGGACTTTATAAACTGTTGAGCATTATACCAGTCCGCGTAAGGTGGTGTTAGATTATGTTGGTTAGTGCATAATCTCCAGGAGTGGTGAGGATTGGAGAACTAAGCAACACACCGACTCAAAGATCCTGGATTCTCAAAGATCCTAGAGTATTAGAGCTGGAAGAATCCTTCAAGCAGATGCTGTGGAATTTTAATGTACTTAAAGGAGTCACCTAGGGGCTTGTGAAAATGCAGATTCCCAGGCCTGGCCCCTGAGATTTTGATTCACTGGGTCTAAGATGGGGCTTACTTAACAGGTGTCCCACAAGGTTCTGATGCAGATAGTTTAGCACCACACTTGAGAAGGGCACTGCCTTAAACATCTAGGTAAGAGCTTCTCAATCATTTTTCTAATTAGTGCCTCATTTCGATAAATAAAAAATTACATCTGAGGCCAGCCCAGTGGTGTAGTGGTTAAGTTCACATGCTCTGCTTTGGCAGTCCAGGATTTGTGGGTTCGGATCCTGGGTGTGGACCTACACACCGTTCTTCAAGCCATGCTGTGGCAGCGTCCCACATACAAAATAGAGGAAGACTGGCATAGATGTTAGCTCAGCGACAATCTTCCTCACCAAAAAAAAAAAATTACATCTTGCATCAATGGGATGAGTAATACTGTAACTGGTTCTTTGAAGCATACACACAAAAATTATAGTTGGTTTGTTCTGCCACAAAAAAAAAAAAATCACTTTTAAATAATTAACCTTTCTCTCTTCTCCAAGAAGGAAGTACTATAATTTATATTGGTCGGTTTATAGCGGAATGCTTTTTGGCCTTGGGCACTGGCAAGCAAAGGTGGGGTTTGGTGTTACATTTATCACAGCCATCATTTCCATGAATATAGTAGTCATTTGGTTAATGTCTATTGAATTTTCAGGGACCTAAGAAACCATAATACAGAGTTCTGCTGTACATCAATGCTCACCTCTTTCCTTTGGAGGAGCCAAGCACAAGAAAGCTGCAGCCCTCATGGTTTTTAGCATGTCTTATTATCATTTCTTGGCCCTCACCCTGTCTGGCAAGCTTGGCCAAGATACAAATAATAGTAAACACAAATAATAACTTTCCTTATTACACAGGAAAAATAAGTGACCTGATAGCAAGTGTGAGAACTCACCTTAGAACTAAGAATTCTGGATTCCTGTCATGTGCTTGCTTCATAGAATATTATCATCCCAAAAATATTTGTCATTTTTTATATCTGCTACTGCTTCTGAAAAGACTGCTTCTAATCCAAGAATAACCTTATCTGACTGTGAACTGAGAGGCCACTCAACTGAAGGGCAGATTACACTTGGTATACTCTGTGATGTTAATAAACACTGAGCACCAGTAATTTTCTGGTGTATTTTCATCTAGGCCTTTTGTTTTTTAGTTCTCAAATTGTTGGCATTCAGGATTTCCAACCCCTTTAATGCAAATGATCATATATTTAATGCAGTTTCCTGTATTGCATGTGTAATCAAAAGGTAGTTTATTGAACTAAGAAATCTTGTTGAGCTTTCAGGATCATAATTTTTATTACTCATCAATATACTTTTGCATATCATTTTATTTTAAATTTCATTTCTTGCCTTCATAATCTCATCTGTTGGGGTTTTTTGTTTTTGTTTTTTAGCTGTACCTGAAGGAAATCTTAAAAGAAATTGGTATTCAAAATGTAAAAGGGATCCACAAAAACACATGGGAGCTGAAGCCAGAGTACAGACATTATCAAGGAGAAGAAAAGAGTGATTAAGAAGACTGTAAACCAGCACACTAACAGAACAACTAAAGGGTGATGTGCTAAACAAACGGCATTGATCCGTGAATCCTTGAGTACCATCTGTTATAGGGGTAAAATGACTGGTACTTTAATTTCTCTAGGTAAATTTTTTAAACCTATAATTCTTATAAAGTTACTTAAGTGTTTTTTGAGGAGAAAGAACAAATTTATTTATAGACTTAATTTGTTATTAAACCAGATTATTCATGATGGGATTAGGGTTTGGGGGGTTAAGAGAGTTTTTCTTTTTAAATATTAACTTTTAAAATGTAAAATTAGGAAATGTTTTCTAAATGTGGACTCTCTCCTTGTTTTATCTCTGAGGAGCTGAGGTAATACAGATCCAAAGTGAATGGCACAGCAAGAAAAAATAGTCAACTACAGAAACTCTTAAAAGAAATAAAAACCCAAAGTTCCTTATTCTGAAATTGTTGAAGAACGAAACTGTCTTTTTTTTTTAAAAAACAGGTGATCATGTTTCACATTCACACATATTAATAAAAGAGCATTTATGTTTATACTAAGATAGTGGTTCTCGTCATCAGCTTATTTTACCCTACTGATAGTGACATGAGAAATGGAAAAAATCATGGTCAGTTGGTGTTTCTTTTATTTGCTTTTAAAATAATTCAAAATTAAATACTTTTCCAAAAATTCAAGGTACGTCTCCCCCATCCAGATTATGGGCTTCTCAAAGGCTGTCCTTGCCTCAGAGTTTTACTGCGCCCTCAGCAGGCATGTCTTGACTATCACTTGACAAATGATACTGACAAACAAAAGGAGGGTTGTAGGGGTGAGGCTGATACGTATAGGCATTAACGTATAGAAAGGTTAACGTCAATTCCTGGGGAATGAAAAGGTTTCTTTTGTCTTTCTTTTTACTAATTTTATTATTATTATTATTTTTGTGTGTGTGTGAGGAAGATCAGCCCTGAGCTAACATCCATGCCAATCCTCTTTTTGCTGAGGAAGACCGGCTCTGAGCTAACATCTATTGCCAATCCTCCTCCTTTTTTTCCCCAAAGCCCCAGTAGATAGTTGTATGTCATAGTTGCATATCCTTCTAGTTGCTGTATGTGGGACGCGGCCTCAGCATGGCTGGAGAAGCGGTGTGTTGGTGCATGCCCGAGATCCAAACCCGGGCCACCAGTAGCGGAGCGCGTGCACTTAACTGCTAAGCCACGGGGCTGGCCCCTCTTTTTAACTGATTTTAAATAAAAGCAATACATGTTCATGGTTAAAGTTTTTTCTGGCACAAAATATGTATTAGGCAATCCAAAATCACGCCCACAAACAACATCACCAAAACAAAAGAATCTTTAGCAAACTAAACACAATGAAAAGTTGCTTTTTACGTGTTCATTTTGTCAGCTGCTTCTGTTGCTTGCAACCAAGAAGTAGCAAATGCCAAAAATTTAAGAAAATGTTATGTAATTAAAACAGATCAAGGAAATATCTATCCATTGAGATAAATATTTTTCTGTATTATTTGATTTTTAGCAGCAGAACACCAGAATGCTGAGGGTGAATACCACTGCATTAAGAAAATTTTTATCTTTGCATTCCCACTGTAAACTAAAATTCTGATTAAGGAGGGTGGTTCCATTCTCCACACCACCTCCAGTTGTCTTACTTGACCTTGTTCTGGTGCAGGAACCAAGTGTCCTATCCCCATTCGCTTCGAATTCCTGATGCCTTGAAGCTCAGTGTTAGGAAGCAAATGGATAATGGTGTGATAAATCTATATAGAACTGAGAATTCTGGATACCTGTCAAGTTCTTGGATCATAGCACGTATCTTCCCCCAAATCTTGTCTTTTTGGATGTATGATACTGACCTGAAACAGACTTGTGTCTCCTTTCCCCCTGCCTTTTTTTTTGTGTGTGTGCTGAGGAAGATTCGCCCTGAGCTAACTTCTGTCACCAATCTTCCTCTTTTTGCTTGAGAAAGATTCACCCTGAGCCAACATCTGTGCCAGTCTTCCTCTGTTTTGTATGTGGGTCACTGCCACAGCGTGGCTGCTGACTAGTGGTATAGGTCCACGCCCAGGAACTGAATCTGGGCTGTCAAACTGGAGTGCGCCAAACTTGACTACTAGGCCACCAGGCATTGTGGTGAGAATGCCTGCCAGATTGAACTTGGTGGCTACCAGTAGAGCTTTCAGGGCTGTGTCTCATTTGAAGCTCTGCTTTGGTATTTCTGTAAACCTGGTTTCTCCAGCTTATTTTATAGTTGCCTTTTACATCATCACACCTGAGCATATCTGCTTGAGTCTCATAAACATTTCTTATCTGTTCTGTAGGATAGCTAATCTAGGTGGTAGACTGATTAATTTTTTGCAATTGCTTTCTTATTTAATACTAAAATAGGGCTATTGGTCTTGGAGGAGACTCTCCCTTCTACCCGGTTTCCCTTTTATTTCAGGGCTCTCTTGCTCTGATAAACATGATCTTGACAGCGAAAAATCAGGGAGTAGGAATCCTAAACCTTTATAGCCCATGTGAGATTGAGAGAGAGGAAGGCTGATAAGGGAGTTATACATCTGGTAAGATGTCACGTCATAAGAGGACAGGAAGGCCATATTTAATAGATGAGATTGTTAAACTCAACTAGTACACACACTTGGGAGATATTTTAATTGACAAAATGTAATAAGATTATGGTTGCTGGGCATTGGAAAGATTTGAAATTACATGTTGCCACAGCAACTTCTAAAGTGATATATCTTAAAAAAGAAAACAAGTTTTGGGCCGGCTCAGTGGCACAGTGGTTAAATTCATGTGTTCCGCTTCAGCGGCCCAGGGTTCGCCAGTTCGGATCCTGGGCGCAAACCTACTCACAGCTTATCAAGCCATGCTGAGGCGGTGTCCCACATAGAAGAACTAGAGGGACCTACAACTAGGACATAGAACTATGTACGGGGCGCTTGGGGAGAAAAAAAAGAAAAGAGGAGGATTGGCAACAGATGTTAGCTCAGGGCCAATCTTCCTCAAAAAAAAGAAACAAAAGAAAACAAGTTTTGCTCTGTTGTATCATAGGCAGCTCTTACAGATTTCAGCAGAATTGAAGTTGTTCCTAATGGTCTGTGAGTAAATTTCCTTTGAAGCTTATTTTTCACCATGGTTGGTATGGATCAGTGAAATAATAGTAAACACTTACCAAGTCCTTATGTGCCTGGCAATATGTTAAATGCACTAAAATACTATCTCATTTAATCCTCAGAATAGTGCTGAGAAGTAGGTAATATCCGTTTTATAGAACCATTTCCTGGGGGCCGGCCCCGTGGCATAGTGGTTAAGTGTGCACGCTCCGCTGCTGGCGGCTGGGGTTCGGATCCCGGGTGCGCACCCATGCACCGCTTGTCAGGCCATGCTGTGGCAGCATCCCACATAAAGTGGAGGAAGATGGGCATGGATGTTAGCTCAGGGCCAGTCTTCCTCAGCCAGAAGAGGAGGATTGGCATGGATGTTAGCTCAGGGCTCATCTTCCTCACAAAAAAAAGAAAAAAAAAGAACCATTTCCTGCCCAACATACTGTCATATGAGTACTGCTCCCTATTTCCAGGAATTCTACCCTTGGGGCAAAGTGAATATCAGAGTGTACTTTCCCAAAATTTTTTCCCCCTTCTCCTCCTCCCCGAAATCTCACCTCCAAACCAGGAAAATGGTATGGACCCCAGACAAAGTTGTGAAGGAGAGGGAGTTTGTCTTTGGCATCCCTACTTGAATCCAGACACCCAAACCTCTCTACCGACAGGATGAAGACTTAACTCCCTCCTGTAAAGTCAAGATCCTTTTACTAAAATTTTAATCCCTGTTACACTTCCAGTACCCGGGTAGGGAGTGTGACTTCAGAGTTTACTCTCTTATTTAGACCTCTGTAGGAGCTAAGGATACCAGTGGAATGTGGTGGAGGCGGGAGCACTGAGCAGAAAGGGAGCTGCCATAGGCTCAGACTTCACTTGCTACACACCCACCTTTCCTCTCAATACATGGACCATTTCCCCTAGCATTTGTGTAAGAGTCCAGGAGATAAGCTAGTTCTCTTTTTGATTCAGTTTTCTTTCTGACATGAGTCCAGAGTAGGTTCCTGAACTTAATATTATTTTCATAACGTGTAAGAGGAGGGATCAAGGGTCACTTTTTAACCTTACTTTTTTTCACGTACTCCCATCCTTTTTTCTTCCTACTTCCTTTCCTTTGAGCAGGTACTGCCATCCATAATACAGTAGTATGATCCAATGTCTGACAGACGGACCAGCAGTATAAGCCTCTAATAGTTTACTGTAAGAAAATCAACACCTTTTATCTGATTTTATTAGAAATCATCTCAATTTAAAAGAACTTTTTTAGATGCTTTAGCTTCCAGTTTAAACTAGATTCTGTCGAGTCATTTAATCTTAAATTTTAGGGTTTTTAAGAATGATTTTCTTTCTCTTTCTCTCTCTTTTTTTTTTTTTTTTTGTGAGGAAGATTAGCCCTGAGCTAACGTCCATTGCCAATCCTCCTCTTTTTGCTGAGGAAGATTGGCCCTGGGCTAACATCCGTGCCCATCTTCCTCTACTTAATATGGATTGGATGCCACCACAGCATGGCTTGACAAGCGTTGCATCAGTTCACGCCCAGGATCTGAATCTGCAAACCCCGGACCACCAAATCGGAGCTCTCAAACTTAACCAATAATGCCGCCGGGCTGGCCTAAGAATGATTTTCGTAGAGTGTGCCATATTTCTAAATGTTGAAGCTTTTATTTAAAAGGTCTTAAGAGGATATGAGTTTTTATTGTTTTGTGGAAATGTAAGTACACCAAAGAGTATGTTATTGGACCAAAAATTTTAATCTGGTGTGGTCATGGAACACGGTGGCTGTTTATTTATTTGGCAGGTCTTTATTGAGTGTGAATATATCCTAGGCCCTGGGGATACAAAATTCTAGGCATAAGAGGCTTTCACAGTCTACTGGGAAATAAGAGAATGTAGATGGATAACAATGCCGTGTGGGTACAGAGGTGTGAACTGAATGTTGCAATCAATCAGAATATGCCAGTTAAATCATCGCTGCCATTTATGCTCTGCATGGATTTCTAATTTTTAAAGCATTTGAATGCAGTAATATATACTTAATTTTAAAACTTTGAATATAATTTAACCATTGATAATTCTTATGACACAAAAGGATTTATACAATGCCTACGAGTTATTATTACGAACATGTACAGTGGATGCCTATAATACATTAATCTTGTTCTAGAAGCTAAATTAAAGAATTTAATGGGCTGGTCCTCTTGACATTTAAGCCTTACTTCTGATTGCCATTCTAGCTGCTCTCCTTGAACAAAAGCCAGTCAACCACATTGGCCATTCGTTCATTCAGTGAAAACCCATTGATGCCCACTGTGTGCTAGGCACTGGGGTAGAGGTGTGATGGAT